CTGTGATACTCCCGGGATGGTATCTCCACGGTGCATTTCCGCGGACCTGCGAGTGTTCTGTGCGACGTCGTGCTTCGATCTCCAGTGAACTCGGCGGAGAGATGGCCCGGTGAACGCGCCAAGTGGGAACCAGCTGTCCTCTACGGCTCCTGGTCGAAACCCGATATATAATTCTCGTGGAATGAGTGAATTCGCGCGATTATGACCCGCGGTGTATCAAACTGCAGTGCGAGGGAGTCGTTCAAGGTGTAGTATCGTTTCTCGTGTTCCCGATGACGGAGCCACAGCTCGATTAAACTCACTGGTTCGAGTGAAAACCAAGGACCGTTAGATATATTAGAAGTAGTAAGAGAATTAAGCAGAATCAAACTGAGTTGTCCCCATTTACACAGGCAAGAAAGAATTTGAAAAGGAGTGTACCGCCGTTCCATGCGCGACAAGCAACAACTGTTGCCGCATCGAGAAGAGAATCGCGAGGAATTCACGCAGCTAGGCGGTCCCGGCAGCCTGCAGCCAGCCGGAAGGCAACTCGAGGCGTTGGTCCACGCGGGCAAGGAGATCGCGAGCGTGAAGACGAGGCCGACGACACCCGTCCTGGCGAACGACGGAGGGGGTGGCTTCTGGCTGGCCACGGTGGCCGCGGGGGCAAGTGCCCCGGCCGGGCTGCCCCCGCACGGGACCCATCATCCAGCCATGGACCCGACATGCGGATCCGCCGAGACAGGCTTCATCAACAGCCAACCCTCCATGGCGGAGTTCATGACCGCGTTGCCCCAGCTGGCCGGCGACGCTAGCCTTCAGCATTCCCCAGGAACCGGAGGATCCATCAGTCCTGGATCCCATCATCCTGGCTACCACGCCATGATGGATCCTCACGGGGTCGCCGATCCGTCCGTCAACGTGCCCGAATACCCGTGGATGAAGGAGAAGAAGACCACGCGGAAGAGCAACCAGCAAGGTAAGCAAGTGAAAATTGTGAACATTTGGAAGAATCTAATTGGAAAAGATCGATATGAGGTTTACGAAGTTTCTTGCGTGATATTGTAACGTCGACTAGTATTGTAGGAATCTCTAATTGTGTAGAAGGAATAGCAAAAATTGACGAATCGTAAACGATGAAGGAATTCGACAATGAATGGGAAATGAGTGACTCTGAAATTTGAAATTCGTGGGTTTATTGCTGCGAAGTATTTTCCAAGTATTTATTAGAACAAAACGTGTATTGAAAATTCAATTGTAGAAATTGTTTTGAAGAAGTAATGAAAATGATTCTAAATGATTGTATTCGACGATGAAAGGTAGATAAATGGATCTAAAAGGCACCCCGCTTGTAAATCGAGAGACATGATTAGTCTTTTCCGTGTAAGTTACATTATCAATTAGCAGGACCCCATAGGACGATTCAAGGGATCGTTTGGTTTATGTTTCGCTGCGAGGGTGAATCGACGAACGTCGATTAACTCTGGCCCATAGCAATTCTACGTGGATTTACCAACGATTATTATTCTTACTTCACATGCTGAGTGCTTTAATAGATACAAGTCCTCCATTCGCGACTTGATCCATCGTTCGAACGAGTTAAGTTAGGGCAATCACCGGCCCATATTTTAAAATAATCTAGCCTATAAAACAGGTTTGCAGGAGTTAATCCACAATTTTATTATCCACAATTTGACATCCAAGAATTCGGTATATGTTATTTAACATACAGTCTACTATTTATTTAGAGAACCATAGCTGCGATTCAAAATTTCTTTACGAGTCACATTGCATCGCTCTACTACTCACTATCTCATCGGTTAATAAATATTCTTTATTCATTTATGTGAATATTTGAGCAATTATATTCACATACGTGTCCATCACGAAAGTGTTCACTTCCATAAACCCTCCATAAAAGCTCGATGAAGCAACAGGACAATGAAACATAAAATCACCCCTTTTACACATTAACAAACACATCATTCTTCGCAAGGAAACGTTCGTCGAAAAAAAAGATCGGCGAACCGTCATTCATCAACATCTATCAACCTTCTATTCACTTCGGACAGAACGTTTAATCGTCTACAATCGGTGGGGTATGAATCAATTACCGAGGAGAGCTCGTAAACACGAGTGCGAATAGTCCTCTAGATCCTACGTTTGTTACCCTTGACGAAATTCCAATCGAAAACCACCCCATCGTATCGACGAGTTAAGCTGCATTTACGTTAAATAAAAGTAACACTATTTGTATCCAACTGTCACTATTTGTACTCCAAATACCTTACTATAATAGAATTTTCAGTAACGTAAATAATCTATTCGAACGTAATATTTTGTCCAAATTATAAATATCTGAGGCAGTGAAAGATTGATCAACTCGCTCGTTCGACTAAAAGTCGCACAATATAAACTAGGCTTTACCAACAGCCAGAAAATTATAAATATAAAAATTATAAATATCCCCGGGTAAATTAAATGCGTGGCAGTGAAAGATTGATCAACTCGCTCGTCCGACTAATATAAACTAGGCTCTGCCAATAGCCAGAGAAGCCACGATCACAAAGCCAAATCACGGAATGATTCGTTCGAGCCATTGGCTAAATGGTGATGAAGCTACCGCGTACTCCGAGTCAATTAACGCCACGGTTTCATGTATGCGCGCGTTTCTACGTGGATCGTGTGTCGTGTAGAACGTCTGTCCGGCGACACCACGTTGTGGCTCGCCACGGGGTGCCCGTTGTCCGACGGCTAATGACGCCCAGCAGCCACTCCTTTTCCTCGACAGGATGGCATCTGGGCCTCGTCACGTGCGAAAACCGCGCGTTTCCCAAGCATTCGTAAACATTCGCCGGCAAATTATGATGTATCGTCCGGCGGAACGTGAGTTCGCCGCGCGAACAATCGATACACTGATGGCCAACACATGCCATGCGGGTCCTTGGAAACCCTTTCAATGAGAATCAATTGTTGCCTATCGACTTACGAGAACACGAGAGCGGTCCACAGGAAATCCAAAGTTGAAAGGAAATTCCTATATCTTCGACTGGCTGTTTTTTTGAAATTCGTTCTGGTTTGTACCAGAGAACGTTTCGGTGAACATCGATTAGTATTTTGGTCAAGTTGTGTTCAACATTTGTGGATAAGATGATGACATGTGGTGCCACGGTCACGGTTGTTGAATTTTTCCCGAAGTCGGTGGTCTTTTCTCGTTTATATCCTTTCTCTGATTGGTTAGCGGTTGAGCGGGATCTTTGCTCCAAGGATTTAACAACGGGGAGAAATTGTTATCGAGGAGGTATGCGTTAACGCAATTTCCTGCGTCGTTACGAGGCGTCCGTCTTCCAATTGTGCAACCGGAAGTAATGTGATGTAATACCGAAGGATCGCGTTACGAACGCGAGCTTCGATAGCGGTGTAATTGACTCGTTGTTGTGGCGTCGTAGTGTCATTTTAGTAAATTAATGAAATTGCGAAATGTAGGCATTGACGTTGTGATTTCGCTATTACAGAGTTCCTTTGCATTGAGCAAAACTGTTGTTCTTTTAATCCTCATTTACAACCTCAAATTTACATTTTAAACGATAACTTATCATAATGTTACAAATACACATCGTCGATCAATTTCTAAAAATTTTACAATTTAGAAGTGAAAGAAATAGCGGCTTCGTCCGAAAAGTCTTGAATAAACAAGTTTATTTTATCAAACTTTATGAACGATATATTAAATATCACTGTAAATCAACGATACAAGAGGTACAATCTAAAGAAAAGAAAAACAGACTTGTTCGGGATTCCACAGCACGGAAAAATTGAACAGAAATCAACAACGTTCAAATTGAGAAGAGACATCCTCGACCAGTTGAAAGGAAAAAAGAAAAAATCCTCTCAATGAGTTGAGAGGATGCGAAATTTCGTCCACTTGACACATTGACTGGTATAAACAGAAGGCAGCGGGATCGCGATCCATTTTCCAGCAACTTGTTGGCTATTGTCGTCCCATCGAGCACCAATAAATCTACGGTGGAGGACCGTGGCGCGGTCGTTGGACGCAAGGTCGCACGCCGCTACCACGATCAAAGGGGCGGCCAGTGGTTTATGGGCGAAAGCGGGCCAAAACGGGCATCGTGTACTGTTTCCATTTATCCGGAGGCGGTTGGCACTGTCGTCGGCTCGGTTATCCGTGGAAAGTCGCGGGCCGATCCGGTCGCGGGACACGTCGGAAGATTAAGTGTTCGGCAGGAAGGTTAACCAGCCGTTGGCCAGGCGGTAACACGCGGAATCATCTGTAAATTGAGCGCAGGGCCAACGGGAGAGAGCGTTGGGACGGCCATAACTCACGTGGCCTGCTCTCTGCCACCGATCCTCTCTTCCTCGTCTCTATCTATCTCTTCTCCCTTTCCCTCTGCCTGTTTGCCACCCCCTTGATCGTGTTTTGCCTCTCGAACCCTCTCTTACCGTTACCGAGCTTATCGTTACGCTGGACGATAACCCCTTACGATGACCCGACGTTCTACGTGGCAATTTTAAGACGCAGAGTATGTGAAACACATAGACGAAGCCAATTAAGAGACTGTGGATTTCCATACGTTTGCGAGGGACTTGAGTATAGAAAGAAATATGAAAAATACTTGCAACGTGGGGATGGAAATGTAAAAAATATTGAAAAATGTAGAATTATTGAACTACGTGTGATTAGATTTTTATACATTTTATATGAGAAGTTTCAAGACGTAAAATTACATGCAATACACACAATATGCAAAAGTATAGAAAACATTGAATATTTGGTGGATGAAAGATATTTCTATTTAGATTCCACTCTATAATATATAAACTCTACCCTAAAATTGTTGGATGTTTTAGAATTTTACAGAAAATGCTACTGACAAATAACTAGATCAAAGAGGATGCTGTTTTTGTAACGAGAAATGTCCGCTTTCAGCAAGATTCATTCTACCGTTCACTTTCCCGTTTTCTTCCGGAAGACTTTCTCTCGTTAGCGGGTACTATATTATCATCTTCGTACTTCACAGTAGCAAACTTCATAATTAGAGAAGTAAGATCGTGCGAAGATACAACGAAGTATGATGCAGTATATTGCATTTATGACTCCTAACAACCTGGAAAACCAAACTAAAGAATGGTTCCGAATTTCTTCGAGCTGCATTCGTTATTACCTTCATCATAAAAAAAAATGCGAATCGTCTCGGATTTTTACGCATTTCTGGAAAACTTGAAGACAACGTACAGGAAAAATGTACAGGAGACGCGGATTCGCGGATACGAAGGTTGTCTCCGTTCAGTCCGCTTTCCTTACGTTAGTAAGGATAGTTGTATTTTCTTGGACTTCGACGCAGTTTTCGTGTAATATGAGTGATTGACTAAGTCACGAGGTTTGATTCTGATGACACTTATTCACGCTTCACTGTGGCGGAATCGAACTGACGGGAAAGAACACTGAGGAAGAACTGTTAGAAAATAACTATCGAAACGTGTCGAGCGAGCGCTTTTATATCTCAAAGAATGCTTTGTTCAAGCTCGCTGATTAAACCCGACTTTCCCTATCAGATAAATCGAGCACACCCTCCGAGGAGACTTTGATCCTAAATTACTGCAACGGTAGTAAGACTTATGAAATTAAACTTAAATTATAATACAATTTATGATGGATAAAAACTTATATTACGGTGCTATTTATAGTGGATGCTATATATCACTATTGTGTCTATGTGATGGCTGTGAATATTTTGTTTCTATTAAAAATTGTCCTTTGTAGGCTTCACAAGGTTCACTATTGTATCCATGTGATGGTTGTGTACATTTTGTTTCTATTAAAAATTGTCCTTTGTAGGCTTCACAAGATTCACTAGTGTATCCATGTGATGGCTGTGAACATTTTGTCTCTATAAAAAATTGTCCTTCGTAGGCTTCACAAGGTTCACTATTGTATCCATGTGATGGCTGTGAACATTTTGTCTCTATTAAAACTTGTCCTTTGTAGGCTTCACAAGGTTATTATCGTTACAGTTTAGCACTTCTCGGAATACCGAACCTTAATAAAA